GCTGCAGCGTTGGCCTCATTTCCGCGCTTCCGCTTGTTCCGAATCGTGCTCCCGCTGCAGCGGTGGCGTCATTTCCCGTGCCATGCCACGGCGTGCAATGCAATTCTAGGTTGCGTTCCGCTGCGCGATGCCATGCCTTCAGCTGAAGCTGTGATATGCAGTGCTTAAGTGCTGCGTCGTGCTATGCCAGGCTACGCTTAGATCTTCAACGCCATGCTATGCAATGTTATGTTCGGGGCCGCTGTGCGATACCATGCTTTGCGTTGCAAAGCTTTGTGATGCAATTCTTCACCGCGCCACGCCACGCCATGTTGTGACATACTACGCTTTGCGGTGCTCTTCTACGCCATGCCACGCCGTGCTCTACAATGCATCGCGTACCCTTTCGGGATCATTGCCCTGATCGACATCCGACTGTGTGCGAACAGAGAAGGGATCTACGCCATGGTAAGGGATGGGAGGGAGGGGCAGGATGGCACCTAGCTTGTCCTCCTCCTCCTCCTCCTCGTCCTCTTCACTCCTCCTCCTCCTCCTCATATTCCTCGTCGCCGTCCTCCTCCTCTTCCACTTCCTGTCCTCTCAATCGTCGCGGCACCCAACCAAATGCCGCGGCGATTTAACTCCACAGTTAAGTCTGTACCTGGCTGGGGCGCGCGGCGTGGGAATCACTTAACTCCGGAGTTAATTCGTGTAGCAGCTGGTGCGTCCGCCAGCTTGGCGGCGACTTAACTCTGGAGTTAAGTTTTTCCGCGGGGTGGCCTTTACCCCAGAATCGGGCCGACTTAACTCCGGAATTAAGTCTTGAATAACCTCCCGGTTTCAGTCGCTCCCTCTTTTTGTTTGTTTTCTCTCTCTCTCTCTCTCCCCTCTCTCTCTCTCTCTTTCTCTACCTCTCTCTCTCTCTCTCTTTTTTTTTTTTTGTTTTTTGTTTTGTTTCTCTCTCTCTCTCTCGTTCCCTCTGTCTGCCTCTAATCAACCGCCCCCGTCTTCGCTCTTTCTCTCCTGGCGTTTTCCCTCTTCCTTCGTCCCTCCCCCTCCCTTCCTTCCACTCTCCCTCGTTCTCCCCCTCCTCTTGTTGCAGGGCCCAAACAAATTCCGATGGCAGGCACATGTACGCCCACGAAGGGTTATCTGCCCGTTCAGGTTTGCCCGCCCGTCTAAGCCCGCCGCCCCCCGCAAAGAGAAAGAATTCCCCCAAAGAGGGTGTGATCGAACACAAAAAGGGCGGGTGTCGAGGGTGTGGGGAGCTCGTTTTGGAGACCACACGGGCAAGTAAGAGCGAACAGTCTTATACTGATTGTTCTAGTTGTTGTTGCTGCTGTTGTTGTTAATGTTGTTGTTGGTGTTGTTGCTGCTGCTGCTGTTATAGCGGTTGTAGCTAATGTTGTTGTTGTTGTTGTTGTTGTTGTTGTTGTTGTTGTTGTTGTTGTTGTTGTTGTTGTTGTTGTTGTTCCCGTTGAACCCTCATTCTTGACGAATAATTATTGTTGATCGCCCCTCACCGGTGCACATTGTTTTTTCAATTGAAGCGCCCCCCTGGGGCTCGCACCTTGTTTTGTGTCAAAGAAAGTCTTCCTGCTCAAACTGGCCCCCTGCCCCCCGGACTACAACAACAAAGGCCCCCGTTTGAGATTTCCTAACAATTTAGCCAGGACCCCCGCTCCCGCCCGAGATTTCCTCGCATTTTATTCAGGAATCGCGCTCTCGCTTGGGACTTCCTGATAATTTATTCAGGAATCGCTCTCCCGGCGCTCTGGAGTCGCGCTTTCGCTGGAGACTTGCTTGCAATTTACCATAGAATCGCGCCCTTGCGTTGGATTTTCTTGCAATTTACTCTAGCGCCGCGCTCCCGACACCCAGGCACCCAGGAGTCGCGCTCACGCTTAGGATTCCTTCACAGATTACCTAGGATCTCGCTGCCCTTCGTGGCCCCGTTGCAGCCCTTCGTGGTCCCCTCGCTTTGTTTCGTGGCCCCGCTGCAGCCCTTCGTGGCCCCCTCGCTGCCCTTCGTGGCCCCGTTGCAGCCCCTCGTGGTCTCCTCGCTGCCCTTCGTGGCCCCGCTGCAGCCCTTCGTGGCCCCCTCGCTTTGTTTCGTGGCCCCGTTGCAGCCCTTCGTGGCCCCCTCGCTGCCCTTCGTGGCCCCGTCGCAGCCCTTCGTGGCCCCGTTGCAACCCTTCGTGGTCCCGCTGCCCTTCGTGGCCCCGTTGCGGCCCTTCGTGGCCCCCTCGTTGCCCTTCGTGGCCCCATACATGTATGCCCTTCGTGGCCCCCGCTCGTTCGCGCCCGTGGTTGCCCCATATGCATGCCCTTCGTGGCCCCGCTGTCGCCCTTCGTGGCCCCCTCGCTGCTCTTCGTGGCGCCGTTGCTGCCCTCAGTGGCCCCGTTCTTGCCCTCCGCGGCCAATATACGTATGCCCTTCGTGGCCCCCGCTCGTTCGCGCTGGTTTTGGCCCCATGTGCATGCCCTTCGTGGCCCCGCTGTCGCCCTTCGTGTCCCCCTCACTGTCCTACGTGGCCCAGTTGCTACCCTCAGTGGCCCCATAGTTGCCTTCCGTGGTCCCGCATGATCTGCACTTCGTGGCCCCCGCTCGTTCGCGCTCTTCGTGGCCCCATACGCATTCCCCTTCGTGTCCCCGCTGTCGCCCTTCGTGGCCTACTTCGTGCCCTTCGTGGCCCTACTGTCGTTCTCTCTCGCTCTCGCTTTCGCTCGTCGTCGCCGTCGCCGTCGTCGTCGTCGTCGTCGTCGTCGCCGTCGTCGTCGTCGACGTCGTCGTCGTCGTCGTCCTCGTCGTGGTCGGTCCCCTGTCCGTCCCTCTGGGGGTCGGGTCGACGGTCCGCGGCCGCCCCGCCGATCAGCGCTGCCGCTGGCCAGGCCGACGGTCCGCGGCCGCCCCGCCGCTTGCTGGGGCCCGGCCTGCAGGGAAGAAAGGTATACCCCCCAAAAGGGGTTCGATCGAAGACGGAGAGGGCGGGTATCGAGGGTTTGGGAAATACGCGTTATTGGACACTCGAGCAGATAAGGGCGAACAGTCTTAAAATGATTGTTGTTGTTGTTGTTGTTGTTGTTGTTGTTGTTGTTGTTGTTGTTGTTGTTGTTGTTGAGGAATCGCATTTCCTAGAAATCTCTATTGCTGGACCCCCAGAATACGCTTTACTGGTCTCGCTTAGGCGCCAGCTTGATTTCCTTTGATATCGAGGCTCACGCTCTGGCGTTCTGGGGGTTCGCCGAAACCGGCCTCCCAATAGTAACAGCAACAATCATTTCAAAACTGTTCGTTCTCATCTGCTCGAGTACTATCCAACACGTATATCCCAAACCCTCGAGTCCCGCCCTCTTCGTCTTCGATCGTGCCCTCTTGGGGGTATATCTTTCTCCCTTCAACGTGTATTTCATGCAGGCCCTAAGGGTGGGGAAGAGAGGACGGATGGAAAAAATGAACTAGGAGGAGGGAGAAAGATGGAGCACGAGAGAGAGAGAGAGAGAGAGAGATGGAGAGTAGCAGGAGGGGGGCTAGGACCAGAAAGCACGTGGTAGAACCAGACGGGCAGATCGGGCGGGTAGACCCTAACTGGTGGGTCGGGATGGCGGGCCCAGGCGGCCAGGTCCAGCAGTCGGGTAGCTGAGGCGTGCGTCCTGCATGTGTCGCGAAGATGTCTCGAGCGATAGCACGTCTCCCAAATAACTCGTGGGATAGGCCAAAGCGACAGCGTGATTCCTGAGTGTCGAGGGCGAGGCGTCTGAAAAGGTTGCTAGAAAGTCCCACGCGAATGCGTGATTCCTGAATGCATTGTGAGGAAGTCCCGCGCGAAAACGCGATTTGGGAATACATGGTGAGGAAGTATCAGGCAGGAGCCGTTGTTGTTGTTGTTGTTGTTGTTGTTGTTGTTGTTGTTGTTGTTGTTGTTGTTGTTGATGTAAATTGGTGGCCAACAGCCCAATTCTGAGACCCAATATTTTCCTTGCAGGGGACATCTTAATGGCAATCTTGGCAAACACAAGCTGCCCCGGAAGGGGGAGCAACAATATTCTTCAGAAGGGAGAATTCAGCAACGCTCCCGCTCGATACTTCCTTCTTGTTCTGCCCGGACCCGGTCTCGGGCTCGCAGCCGAAAGCCAACTTTCCTACAAAATTGGCGCTCCCGCTCGGTACTTTGTTGTTTTTGCTCAGGACCGGCGCTCCCGCCTCGGCGCCGCAAGCGGCCCCCCTTGCAAACAACGACGCTCCCGCTCGAGACTTGCTCCGCTTTTATTCAAGACTCTCTGAAGCCCTGATTAGGAGGGGAAAAAACACACAGACACAATTTATCGTCGATTCCCCAGAAAATATGGGAAAATATGGGAAGTGGGGGGGAGGACAAAAACCCAGAAAATAAGGGGAAATATAGGGATATTTTTATTTGTGTGTATTTATTTGTGTGTCCTGGGGCCCCTTCACCCTAGTCCATGTTGAACCTTCTCTCGGGACCAGGGCTCTCGCTCGCCGCCGACAGCCGGCTTTCCAGCAAATCCGGCGCTCTCGCTGGATAGGTTTGAAAGGACTGCGCTCCCGCCTCGGCGCCGCAGGCGGCGCCCCCTGCAAACAACGACGCTCCCGCTCGAGACATCCTCCGCTCTGATGCAAAAGTCCCAGAGGCCCTGGGGCTTTCCTGGTCCCTGGTGCCGATCCGATCCTCAAACATGCAGCATGCATCGTCGGAGGTCTGCGCCGGTGCCTCCCTGGGCGCGCTCCGCGTGCCAGGGGCGGCCCGAGGGCCCGAGCTTCCCGTCGTGATCTTCCACGGCTCGAGGGGTCCGGACCCCTCCCCTTCTTGCCCGAGGCGGGAATTCATCCACATCCACCGCCTGGAGGGTCAGTTTTCGGAGCCTCGGCAGGCGGTGGATCTGGACATATCCACCGCCCGCAAGGGGCACCAGGACGTCGTTTCCAGGCGGTGGATATGGATGAATCCCCGCCTCGCATCTTGCCCCTCCCCCCCTCCCTGCCCCCCCGCGACCCCGAGGCCTCGGTCGGGGGCGCCGTCTCGGGCGCCCAGGCCCGGGCGAGCGAGGCCGCGGCGAGCGTCCAGAAGGAGCCGCCGGGGAGGGAGTCGGAGGCCTGGAAATTGGCACCAACACCAAGACAGGGGGTTGCCTCCACAGGAGGAAGGTGCTCCTAGATTTTCGGTGTTGGTGGTAATAGTTCGGCCACCTTGGAAGCCGGAAGATTACCATCATCGCCGAGATCGGGATCGCCTCCCCTCGGTGGAGGCACACCGCCGACATTGGTGTTGGTGTCAATCTCTACTAGGCCTGCGAGGGAGGAGATGGGCCGACACGAGGGGGAAGCGATGCGCTCTTTGCCTTTCCGAGCGTCCCGTCGTCCACGGGGGGAAGCAGCCGTCGAGCCCCGTCCGGAGGAACCAGTCGTCGGGAAGCAGAGGCCCGGCCAACCTCCTCCTCCTTCCCCTCCCCCTCCCCCTCCCCCTCCTTCTCCTCCTCCTCCTCCTTCTCCTCCTCCTCCTCCTCCTCCTCCTCCTCCTCCCCGCTTCCTGCGGGGCCGCTTCTGGACCAAGGCACGCACAGGCCCGCAGCAAGACTGAGGAAGGCACGCTGCGTGCGCTGAGCGCGATGGGCAGACGTGAGGGTCGGCGGCGATCGAGGGGGGGAAGTGGGGAGGAGAAGGCGCTCTCGGGAGGCGGCGGGGCTTCTCAGAAGCCCTCCGGCCTTCTGAGAGGTTTCATGCGTCTTCGAGGGCGGCTTAAGGGCCTGGGGGACTCCCGAGGCTTCTGAGAAGGCCCGACAGCATGTCCTACTCATTTTGAATAGGGCGCACTGTCGGCGTCGCCGTGGGCGGTGTCCGTTTGAGGCGAAAGACCGCTTGCCCAACAGCGACCGCTGCCAATTTTGGACAACGTTCGTTGTTGGGCATTGTACCCTAGTTCTTTCCGCACCCATTTCGGGGCTGGAGGGTCGGGGGCAACGATAGGTGGGGATAGGCATAGGGGGGGGATGCATCGACCCCCAATGGCCCATTGATCGCCGATAGGGGCCCGGTAGCCCTAACTCGGTCAGGAAGGTGCGGCTTCGCTATCGGGGGCCCATCGCCGATCTATCGGCGATGCATCGCCGATTCATGGGTCCGCCCCCGTGCCAGTCCCCCTCTATCGGTGCCCCTCAAGAGGGCAACGATGCAGTGAAGGGGCTGACGCAAGGACCTGGGCTCAGGAGGGGCTCGGGGCTTTCGGGCCGTTGCTCGGGCCTATGCCGGGGAACCCATGGCCATGGCTTTTCCTCCTGCCCGCTCCTCCTGCAGGGATGTCCGCGCTTCGCGGTCGGTCGCGGCTCGGTCGTCGTCCGTCTTGGACGGCTTTGTCTTCCTCCGCTTCCTCCCTCCCTCCCTCCTTTCTCTTCTCCTTTCCTTCCCTCCCCTCCCTCCCTCCCTTTCTCCCTCGCTCAGCAGGGCCGCGGGTGTCTCAGCTGGCTCCCCCCGCGGCAGGACCTCGCGAACGCGCCCGCCGCATTCGCGGGGGCGGCCCAGGCCAGCGCCAGCGAGTTCGCCGAGTGGGTAGGCACGCCACGCGCGAGCACCCGCGCGCGCGGGGGGAGGGGAGGACTCCGGCCACCTCCTCCTCCTCCCTCCTCCTCCTCCTCCGCCTCCTCCGCCTCCTCCTCCTCCTCCTCTCCTCCTCCTCCCCCCTTCCTCGTCTGCTTCCTCCTCGTCTGCTTCCTCCTGTGCCTCCTCCTCAGCTTCTTCTTCCTCCTCCCCCTTCCACCAATGAGCAGGCCACTCCCCCTCCTCCTCCCTCCTCCTCCTCCTCCGCCGCTCCCTCCCTAGCTTCTCCCCTCCGCCTCCCCTCCCCCCCTCCTTCCACGTCCTCTCCTTCTCCTCCTCCTCCCCCTCCTTTTCCTTCCCTCCCCTCCTCCTCTCCTCCTCCTCCTCCTCCTCCTCCTCCTCCTCCTCCTCCTCCTCCTCCTCCTCCCTCCTCCTCCT